TTAAAGTCAACATCATTCAGCCACGTCTTTTACTTTCTGCTCAGTGTCCCATTTCAGTGAGATTTAACCTCTTAAGGAAATTGTTTTAAAAGCAGTTAAAAATAATGATTAAATTATGGGATTTACATGAAAGAAACCCTCGGCCCATTCATTTTTTTTTAAATCATGGCAATTTGTTTTTTAAAAGGTGTTTGAAGTCCTTGAATCTACCTCTTGGCACCATTAAAAAAGAGTAGTTTATAATCCCCTAATGTGCTTAAATAAAGCCTTCAATTGTTTAAATTGTTATTAAACATCTTTTGGGATTATAATTTTATGGCTTTTTTTGCCTGATTAGATGATGAACGTGAAGATCATCAAATACTCATCATATAACAAACCAATTACATCGTATAATCCCCAAAATGAGGTTTGAATACCAACATTTTAAATTAAACTGGATTTGAAGGATGCAGAGAATTGACAATGAGCAAAAAAATACTTGAAACAACACCCCACAAACTCCCTTCTTCTACTTTTGAACAAAAAGAAATTTATACCAATTCCAAATACTGATTTATACCAAAAAACTGGGACAAAAATATACAATGGGTTGAAGCAGAAACTAACCCTGTTGCCACAATTAAATTTACATATTTAATTGTAAGCATGATTATTTTTTCTTCCCTTCTCTGTCTCCAAGCTTTTCCCTTATTTCACAATTTGTGCTGAGGGTGAGGGTCTCCTCACATTACAGCAAGGAGATCTCCTTGAAAAATGGGGGGAAGAAATGATCACTGAATATTAACTTATCTAAGAAATAATTTTTTAAAAGGGTTTAAAAAGTCTAAAAGCCCCACGAAACACTGTTGGGCTGCAACACACCCTGAAATTATCCTTAGAATGACTTTCTAAAGTCCAGAGCCAGCACAGAATTGGTTTGCTCCAGTCCCTCATCCAGCCCCTGCCATGACATTTGATGTTCATCTGAAGCCACTCCCCAAGCCTCTCTTCAATTCTTACTCTCCTTTAACAGTTCAGGGATGTCCTCACCACTTCCAGTTATTAGAAGCTTTTTTCTTATTATTATTTTTTTTCTTTAATCCACATAGTAACAGGCTGCCATCTCAAATTTATAGCAAAATCCTAAAAATAGATTTCATAAAACTCCAAATTTACCAGCTGTTGTCATAATCTACCAGCAAAAAATTTCAACAAGCTCTACAACTGCATTTTACCCATCTAAGAGCCAACCGGAGCAGCTCTTACAACTCACACGTTTAATCAAAATTGAGTAAAAGTAGCAAACAGTTTAAGAAAAAACAAAACAAAACGAAACAACCTGCGAAGTCCTAAGTGTGAGTCTGATCAGCACTTTTGCAATTGTTTTAGCCGATTGTTTTTGTTGTTGCTGTTCCAAGAGGGGCAGAAAAAAAAAAAAAAAAAAAAAGGCAATTGGGATGAATTTATCCCCTATATTGCTTCAGAGCATACTGCCTGCATCCATAGAGGACAGCACTTGCCTACCCTTTGGGAATATGTCAACTCAGTTCTGCACATCAGTCAAAATACTGGGCTGGGGAGAGGGGCTGGAGCCTGACACTGAGTGGGAACTACTGCCCAAACACTTCAACATCCGGAGAATAAAAAAAAAAAAAAAAAAGAAAGAAGGATTTCCTCCCAAGTGAGAAACAAGAACTGGGGGACAAACCTTCGGAAATGAAGTCAGTACACAGAGGAAGACTTAATGTTCTTGGAGATGGAATAACTGCGTAGAAGGAACTAAACCAACCTATACACTTTTGAAAGATTATATTCGTCCAACGTTTATTTTAAGTCTTTCCAACTGGTAATCATTAGTATGACAGACACAGCAATTACTGCCTATTTTGTTTAATTCCATGCTGCTGATGTGTATTAATATTACAATTGTGAGGGGGAAAAAAAAAAAAATTGCTCCTGAAGAGGAGGGCTCCCAACTAACAACCTAAATAAGGAAGCACCAATGGTCAGGGGGATGCTGGATTTTGCACTTAACTGCTGCTCATTTCTTCCCTGCCATTTTTCAGCTGGTGAAGTGAAGGCAGGTAAAACACAGAGGCCTGTCCTGACATATCCCCTGCCTGAATAGAACCACCTCCCTATCTTTCCTCACCTCCCACTTCAGGGAGGACCTTGTGTTCACCCTATGAAAGACCAAATCCACTGATAAATACATAGATGGATGGATAAATAAATAAATAAATAAATAAATAAAAAGATGGTGTGGGATCTCTAGTTTCCTTGGGATGATCTCCCTCCTGCAGCAAGGAAAACCAGCTGGGGACACTGCCATACCACCATGAAGGGTTCTAAAAGCAGTCATGAAAGCCAAATGCCCTCAAAAATGAACAGGACTTTTAATTCCTCTGGTCTCTCTCCCTCACTACTCTGATTGCAGCCATAATTTGGGCCTGGGTTTGTTTTTTTTTTTTTTTCTTGCAGAGAGGACAGCACCCCAAGCAGTCTGTAAACACATTGCATTGCTGTAGCACTTGGAAGAGCCTGCAGTGCTCTCCAGATATGTTTTAATTCAAGGAAACTGTCCAAGATCCCACCTAGAGTCTGTCTCAAGGTCCTAAATGAAGAAGATTGGACTGGATAAACCAATTCTGTTCCACTGAGTTGAGCAGAGAACCCTGGATCTACCATGCTGCCAGGGGTAGGAGAAATCTGTCCTGCAACAAAAACCACCTGCTTCACCTGGCTGGGCAGGATCTGCACAGGGGATGGTGGATTTTTAAAGCAAGCTTTAGCTCAGTGTTGCAAGGTAGAAAATGCAGCAGCTTCATTGCATAGGTTCTGCAGAGGATGGTTCTTCCTGTATTTGAGTCTTCCAGAAGGAGAGACCATCTTAAAAGCAAATGTGCAGATGTTGTCTCCCAGGAGCTGCCAGGAGCCCCTCAGCAAGTTATACAGGCACCCTTTTGCACACTATTACCTCACAGGAGAAAAGTGAAAAGCCACTAGAACCCTACAATTAACCCAAATGAAACAATGAGGGGGCCCATTCTCTGATCCTGAGATTGTGCATGAAACTAGCTGCAGGGTCAGGTCAAGCCCATGTAGTTAAATGCTCAACACAGGGTGGTTCCTGCCACAAGGGCTTTTTGGAGACACCCTGTAGCCTTCTGCCTTCCCAGGAATGGGCTCGGAGGTCATGGGCTTGTAGCTACCACCAGGTAGCTGGTCCAGGCTAAGAGCATGCTGAAGACTGCTCGAGCAGTTTAGCAGGATAGAACCTCACATTCCTGTGCTTGGGTCTGGGTGATGTTTTATTTACCAGCACGAACACAGCAACAGGACACTCTCAGGAAAAATATTTATACTACTTAATGCGCAATTCCTCACTGGAAACTACAGGGATTGACATGCAGCTCAGCGTTCCCTGGTGTGCCTCGTCCTGGCTGCAGAGTTTCCTCGATCCAAAACCTAAATCAGCTGTGCCAGGCTGGTATGAGCATTGTTGCTGGCACAGCATCAATGGACTGTTCGGAGGTGGCTGTCCTTTACCTCACATCTACCTGCAGAGAGACGCCAGGTGTCTGCTCACTTTGGGTGAAGACCTCGAAACGGGGAGCTGCCAACACCTAAAGAGACCTCAGCCTTTGGAAGTGATGGCACTGAACACACCAGGCAGGGATAAGGAGCTGGCAAAGCTGGGGCATGACTGACATGGAGTCTGCCAGGGGGAGAGATTAACTTGGAGATATCCGAGGCCCCCTCTGGCCTCAGAGGAGTAGTGCTCCAACATGAAGGTTCATTCATAGCAACCCGGGACCGCACGGGACAGGATTCCCTGCCTGATCCCCGTGCTGACAAGAGTCATGGCAGGTATCTGGTTTCTTGGCTCAGCGGGGGACGGAGGGGTGATGTGCATGAGCGCTTCCTCCACTTTACAGCTATACTCTTGGCAGAGCTCCCATCAGGGCTGGGCAAGCTGGCCAGCTTCTAGTTTCATCCTGACCCCAACTACAGGCAGAGGAGAGAGTCAACCACTGGGATTAGAGGGAAAAGCCATTCTTCTCTACCACCAGCAGACCCTCAGTACCTCTCTCCTGACCCTTATCCTCCTGGTACAGAAAGGCTGAGACAGAAAACCTGGGGCTGAAAGCCCATATCCCCACAGTGGATAAAAGCATAGTGACAGATCACAATTTGATGAAAAAGGAGAATGGCATTAGAAACACTTTTCTAAATGCTAACATTAGAAGGTGTGGTACACAATATAAAGCTTTGAAAGCAGCTCCAGCATCCAGCTTAACCCCACACACCTGTCCAGAGCTTTGATTTCTAATCCCAGGAATAAAAAAACCAAAAACATACAGCTAGCTGTGGTAACAGAAATAGCTGCGCATCCCCCCACCACCTTCTAACGTTAAATACAGGGGTAACTTACACTCTGGGAATGAGAATGTCTCAAAGAAAAAAATTATCCTTTGCTATTAAACCAGATACATTCAGACCTTTCATCATGAAGCTTCTGATGATCTCTGACAAACACCTGAATAAGGTCTTTGTTTGCTTTTGGCTTTGTTTTTTTAATCTCCCCAATTGTTTTCCGCGGCTCTCCGGAGCACAGAACCGGGGGCCGAATGCTGCTCTGTGCTCCAGAGCAGCGATTCCCACATCGAGCTGAGGGGAGCTGCAAAGCAGGACAGGTCTGCGGGGTTATGTTCATACAAGTTTTAAGTATAAATCACATTTCGCAGTGATGTCCTGTTAACAACTGCGTCTCAAACAAACAAACAAACAAATAAATATCTAAAAACAACACACACACACAAAAAACCCAAACCATCAAAACATACACTCTGTGCTCTTCCCCTGGCATCTAGCAAACGAGGCAACAACAGCTCTGCCCGGAACAGTTCCTCAGCTGCCTGTCAGCAACATCATACGTATTTTCTGCTTTCTACGACTACTACAACTATGACATTATCCATGTTTTATTTTGCATATGTGATCTAGAGTTCACTTACTGTTAGATGCTGGAACAGCCATGCCCTCATGATATTTGTGGCTACTTTGGGAAAGATGCCACGCTTTTTATGTCGCTTTTTGTCCTTATCTGGATCATCATCATCACCTGTGCTGGGGGAAGCTACACTGTTGTCCAAGCCGTCACCTGTAAATATAGTGAATCAAATTTTGACTTATGCTACCTTTATATACTTCAGCCGAAGCCTGGCTTTGGGTATAAACTGCATGAATATTTAAATGAGGTATAAATTCTTTAACACCGTAATTCACCAGGGGTTGAGGGGATGGGGGAGGGAGGGAGAGACATGGGGAGAGGGAGGGTCTCAGAACTGCGTTGGCCCCATTCTTGTTTATCCTGAAGGACAGTGTGGCCACTTCTGCCATGGTAACCCAAAACAAAAAGTGCTTAAAAATTGAAAAAAAAACATGCAAGCATCCAGCTTGCAAAGGTGGAAATGGTGGCTTTTCTTCACACTAGGTCACTTCCCAAAGATTCATCCCAATCAGCTACTTTGGCTGAGCTGACAGTCAGGAAAGTGGTGTTCCGGGATGGGGATCATGACATGTGTGAAGCTGGGTGCCTCGTCCCGCTCTGGGATGTGAAAAGCAGGGTGAATGCAGCTCTCTTGCTGCATCATATTCTCTCCACAAATTTGGAAATAACCAGATGACTGGGGCATCACTTATACTAAGTCTTTTAGAGATGCTTGACGTCCCCTGACTCCTTGATGGGAGGTGGGCAGCATACTGGCCTCCCCTCTTCCTGGTCCCAGCCAAAAGGAACTCATAGTGGGATAAGCAGGGACCAATTTGACATACACCATTAGGAATTAACACCCTGCTTTGTGCCAGCGTGCCATATCCGTAATAGGTGTCTGCTCCTGTTAAACAATAACTGATCCAGAATGAATTTCCTTAGTGCAGAGAAGGTTGCAGAGAGTTCTCAACACATTATCAGCACGTCTAGGGGAGGATGTCACTGCACAGCAGCCAACTTGGGTCGGATGGGTTAGTGACCAAAGGAAAACAAAAGTTGCAGTGCCTGGTCAGTTTGCATGCAATTTTTGCTTCAAACTCTGGACACAGTTTATAAACAAGTCCACAGAGCAAATAAGTCTTTGCATTCACTGCATGTGGACTGAATGGTATATCCTTGGCTTGCAAGGACACTGTATTTGTAGCTACATGGAGTTGTGATGTTATTAGGCAAGTGTTTTTTACACCCCTGGGCAAGAAAGATCAAGAAAGCCATCTGAATTGGGCTCAGTACAAACTATCTCCATTAGGGACGAAAATAAAATATATTTAAAAAAAAAAAAAGATGCAGACTGACAAAATTATGATTTGTTAAACAGTTTTCAGCACCAAAAAAAAAAGCTATTATTAGTGTTATATTTTTAGCATGTTACTGACCGTGGCAAATTTATAATTGTCCTTATGACTTGGCCTGTGTCTTTAATGAAATGGTAACCTTGGGTAGTTACAGAAACAAACAAGATTTCTATGAAGAAATTAGATATCCAACAAATTCTTTGAAAGCCCAGTATGTAAAAAAGGGCTTTTATACAGAGAAGCAATTCACCATATAAAATAATAATTCATAAAAGAAACATGAGCAAAGGAAACAACTCAACAGCATTTAAAATTCCACGGGCTAATCCACTTTCTGTCTGCGAGAGGCAAACAAGGAAAAGAAAAGTATTACGCATTCATTGATTAAAAATGAAAAGCTTCTAACCTAATGACACTGCCTTTCACCACCTCCCTGCCATCGTCCACCCACCCTCTCCCCCCACCCCATTTTTTTAAAAATACACTCATTTCAAACCCCCTTCAGATTAATTTAGCAGGCATTGCCTCATGCCTGACGGGAGGAGGACTCATTGATAATTTATGGAAATATCTACTATAATCCAAGGGAGATGACTTTTTTTCCAGCTTTGTGCATCAATAGATAATCAAGGCCTTCAAGCAGCCTTAGCTTCCCATTACCTCGGGCAAGAGAATTCCTGAAAGCATGCCTCCAGGGCACCTGAATTATATCCTCCATTAGGGGAGGAAAAGCTTTCTGCATTCCACCTATAACACTCCCCAGAACCTTTCCTGTTTATTTCTGCTGTATGAAAGCAGAAGCATTAGGAACAGGATTTTTTAAGTGAAGACTTATGTAGATACAATGGAGAAACCTTTCAAGCGCGAGCCAGATCACCTCCTTCAATCCCGGGCAGTGACCTATCCCAAATAAAAGGTTTCTGTTACATCATTAGCTCAAGCCAAAAACAGCCTTGGCTTAATGCACAGTTTGTTCTTCCTACTGTTTTTAGGCAAATACTGCTACTTTACTCCCATCTGGGAGGGAAATTACACTGCTGGGCTGTAATCTAAGACAAGATTTTCATTGGAAGCAAATGCTTTCAATCCAGTGTAAATACTGGTGTATGTTCAGAAAAGCCTAAAACAATAAACCCTGGCCTCGACCGACACAAGTTAGAGAAAGTGAAAAGCAGGGAGAGGATAAGAAAGCGCCCAGCTATCCTTGGAGCAAATGCTTCAGTAGACGTCTGTAAATTGTTTAACCTCTTCCACTTTTTTTAAATGGAAAATTGATCCCGTAAAGACTGAAACCACAGAGAGAACTCTAAATGGTCAATTGTGGATTTTAGTATTTCCATCTACTTTGCAACTCGATACACTCACCTCTGTGAGGTCTCCAGAGATTCCCCCCCCCCGCCCTTTCTTTCCCCCCCACCTCCACCCCCCCCTTTTCCTCCTTTTAAAGATCACTAAACAAACTTGAAGCACCACTGACCAGCCACACGGTAGCAGCTACGAACTGCATTTGTAAAATGTCGGTGGCGACTCTGTTCCTGAAGTTGACTTCTCCTGCCGCCAAATGAAGGCGAACTGAAAAGGTGGAAATAATCATAGAAATGATGCTAGTCCATAAACAAGCTTACAGCCTCATTAGTATAGCGGGAGGCTCCGCTGGGTGATTTATGCTTGTTTTGCTGATGCCATGAGGAAATGCCATAGGGCAACTTTAGCCAGCTGCTAATGGTTTCTGACAGCTTCTTAGCAACTAGTGCAAGCAACGCCGTGGCGTTTGCTAGTGACAGAAACCGAAAATGTCATATTATCTGTCCATGTGTCACGAAGTCCGTGTGGCAATTAACTAGTAGGCCAGTGACTGAGGGGCCACAGGCTCTTCAGAATGGCCCATGGCTATTTGGGGTCAAAGCGGGCGCACTGCTCGCCTTTGCGCTGCACATATGCATGTGTGTATGTGCAGTCCCCACCGCGCTCCCTCCGCCCCGCTCGCCAAGGAGTTTGGCCCACGCGGATCCTTTGTCCATAGAGAAACTCCATCTCGCTTTCTCTTTAGGCATGGCGTGACATTATCAGAGGAACTGCAAGTAATCTGTCTTGATATGATGGTTGGAAATGGCACTTTAATTGGCAATACCTGATTCCCTGGTTTTGAGTGCTGGATCCGAAGGTGCTAGCTGTTTTTCTGCTCGCTCGCAAATTAGTCTAAAAGGATTTAAGATCACTGAAGCAGACTCGTTGCCTGTCAAATTGCTGGGAGCGCAGCAACTCTGCACAGCAACTAGACGCTGTTTAAAAAAAAAATAAAAAAATAAAAAAATAATCCCGGAGCCTGTAAGGAGCAGAAGGAGAGCCCGGGCTCCGCACGCCCGCTCCCTGGCGAGCAAGACCAGGCGCTATATGTCAAACTGTCAAACCTTTCAGCGTGGCCGTTTGCCCTTTCAAATAATATTTAAGAATTGTTTTTACACAATTTTTTATAGGCCATGGTCTAGTGAAAGAGGCCAACCAACAAAGAAAGGAATTTGTACTACAATTCTTCCGCGCACGATTTCTTGCCAGACCTGGGCCAGTCCCCATGGAGCGAGGCAGGTGACCTGTGGCAGCTCCCTGGCTGTTGGGGAGCTCCGATTTCAAACGCCCTCGACTTCGGCGTCCCAGAGTTGCCTATTTAAGCACACCCAGGCATTTAGGCCTTGCTATCTTGTTCCTTTCAAGAAAGGATAAAGCAGCATTTATCGTATTCAGCCCTGCTGAATGGGTCAGGCCGGCCGTGCCAGCAGGGGCTCTTCTCACTGCGTCCCCCTCTCCGCTGTCATTGCCTCTTACGACTTCCCTTCCCCTCCCACTCCCCCAAAAATCAGAGGCAGAAGCAGCAAAGGGCAACTGAGTTTACAGCAGCCCCTCGAGTGGGTAATACTCTCTTTGTCCTGGGTGATATGTTATGAACCTTTGTTGGCAAAATAGGTGCTTCTGGAGAGCAACTTGGCACAGGCACTCGCCCTCAGCAGCCATGGCTGTGGCAGGAGTTTGCTGGTGATTCAAAACCTCCTCCCTTGCTCTCAAACCAAACCCAAATTAAATGTCATCCCCCTGCGACACTGTAAAGACAGGCAGCGTGACACAGACGGGCAACTTTCAGCCACTCCAGCTCCCAAAATCACCCTCAGACCTCAACCACAGGAAATGCCCAGATATGACACAAATATTCCCAATCCCAAATCATGGAGATTTCAAAAGGCTGAAAATTCAGACATCCTAAAAATCCCGACCTTTTGCTTGACTACAAAATCCATGCCTTTGCACGTAACTCTTTTGACTAAGGTCCTTATATAATTTCAAGTGACCAGAAATCTCAGTAGCAAAGTGCCAAATACCTTTACTACAAGTACCTTCACCAGACTCAGCAGGTTATTTCTCACTGCACATAGCCCTGTCCTGGTATCAAATCTGCATTTGGAGGGAAAGTATTTTTTATATCAAAGAAAACCAGACTATTCTAAAAAGCCTGCTCCCCACACCTCTGCCAGGAGACCTGAGAGAGGTTTTGGGGTTCACTAACCAATTTGCTGAGAGGGGGTAAGAGGAGGGCACTAACTTTGCTGAGGTCTACCAAACAATAAGATGAACACCATCTTCCAGCTTTTGCAGTCCAGTTCCAGATAGGCATCTAAATCCACTGCTTTAAGGAGTTCACAGAAGGGAAAGATGTGCACTCAAAGCCCTAGGAAAGGCCTGGAGCAACTTTTAAGTGGACTGACTAAATTAGAGTCCTCTAGAAGCTCCCTATGTTGAACTTATTTGTAGGAGTTCAAATCTCTCCTGTTAAAAGCAGCTTCTGCCTCCTAGAAGAACTTCACAGTTTGCATTTACTTCTGCATTTCACGAGCTAATATGCACTCTGTTTGAATAAAAACTATTGACCATGTCACAACTAGACTTGCAATGCATTTGCTGTTAGGAACTGAAAGACTAAACATGTATGATTTCTTTTTAATTCTATTATATTTTTTTTTACAAGCATTTAGATACAAGTTCCTCTAAATTCCTGCTTCTGCTACTACAAGAAATTCTAAATTATCTAAGCTAAATATTTAACTGTTCACTCTCCAGCCACAGGTCTGTTGTTTCCTTTCTCTTTTAACTACTCCCAGAACCAAAGTCTCTTTAGTAACTTTTCCAGGTAACTGGAAAGGCAGATTCATTAGTAACTTTAAGCAGCATAATGTAGTAGAGAAATCTTAAGTGCCAAAATAACTTTCCTTAACCTTTCTTCAGTGTTTTATACCAATTTTGAGTAATTAAATTTCCACAGATTTATCTATGTTATCTTTTACAGAAACAAAACTCTAGTTTGCTGGATATCCACACAATCCACCATGACCACTTTTTGCAGAGTAAAGCCAGGCTTATGTGGGAAATTTTCCCATAAGGTACAAAATTACGAATTCTCAAAAAGCAGGTCGAGGGATACAACAAGATTTTCTGTAAAGCAATTGAGAAGGAATCTGCCACAAACTACAGTTCACAGGAAACAGAACAAGGATCATCATTTCAGACCACCAGCACTGAATGGACTCGGGCAATCAAAGAAGAATGTGGAATTTTTTTTTTTTAATATGTATATTTTTTTAAAATTTGTTTCTAACACAACCACCTCCAGCTTGGCACAGGAATGTGGTGAGCCGAAGTCACACCCAAATGACTCTGATGTGAGTCAGGGCAGCTATTATTCATGTCCACAAGTACAGAAGGACAAGTTCACTACTCAGAAATGATCATTCCTGCTCAGAGCAAGGTGTGGAAGGAGGCAAGCTGAGCAGCACGGGGGTTGAGTGCCCAGGTATGCCAGGAGAGCTGGAAGGTACCATTGCAGTCTGGGGTGCAAGCCCAGCTGCTAAACCAAGCTGCACCTATTCAGTCAGAAGAAACAGAAGTTCAGACATTAAAAGGCCCTTAAGTTTGGAAGATCTCCCCAAAACACATTATTTCAAAATTTAAACATGCATGTACATGTATATTCCATATGTAACACTAACCCACTGACCGCTCTCAACCTGCCAATGCCCAAGCAAGGCACGCAAGTTGAGAATGGGACTCCCATCACAAAGGTACTTCAGAAAGCATAAAGTAACTGTGCAATTTCTTTATCAGAAAAAACATTTTCTGTTGTTTTGGATCCATGGTTAGTCAGATTTGATGGAAACACCCACTCCTGGAGTTCCTGAGGTCAATGGCAATCACCTCAGCACACTGAATGGCCTACAGAACAGGCCCAAAAATGACTTACAGCTATGCTGTTAGTCTGCTTGTGAATTTGAAATGTGGTGTTGATGAGGAATCTTTTTTTTTTTTTCATATTCCTTAAGGAGAAAGCCTTCTCAAATATACTTAATAAAAAGTTAATGAGGAACAACAAGGTTGAAAATGAGCATTAGCAAGGAACAAATACCAGTTGTCTGGGTTTGCACACATCTCTTAAGGAGATGCAGTACATACTTCATGTAAGGATTCAGACTATGACATAAACAGTGGGAGGTTGTCAGTCACAGATAGTATCCATACTTACAAGATACTAAAGGACACAGTTTCAAAAATATCCTACAAAAATATTCACAGATAGAGTAACATGGACAAGTATAAATCACACTCTGGCATTTGACAAATTTTCAAAGTTTTTTCTTGAATCATTGTACTTTGTTCCTCAGAGACAGGAGCACCTTTCTCTAGTAACTCGACCCTCCTTTTTGACTTGAATTCCCTTCAGGCAAGCAAAGAGCAAATTAGCTGTCTATGCAAAGAGTAAAAAAGGCATTGATAAATAGTGGGGGGAAAACCCACAGATTTTAGTCATATTTGTTTATTTGGCAGCTTTTTTTAGCTGAAGTGAAGGAAACCTCTTCCCCTGCACAAAGTAGAACTTTTAATGGGTTCCGAAAACTCCGCTACTATGGGTAAGTTGTGAGGCATTTCTGGAGCTGTGCATCTACACACCGAATGAAACACGGAAAAGAAAGCAATTCATTGTATGGGAAGCAAACAACTTTGCTGCTGCCAACAACAAAAGTTTGCTTTGAGCAGTTGGAAGCAAACATCCTACAGACAAGTATCTGGTTAAACAGAAAAACATCCTGCTTTAACCAAGAAAGGTAAAAAGCTTAAACAGTTGGGATTTTTTTTTTTTCCCCCTAACCTAAAAGACACCATGACGAACCTACCACTTCTTGGGAGAAGTTTTTTTTCAGTCATCCTCTCATTATGTTCAAATACAAGTCTTTGTTATGAAACCTTTTATCTCCAACCTCATCAGGAGTGGTGGACCTCCCAGCTCAAGGTCCCACCATTTGCATTCTCCGTGAAAAGTCCCTGGCATGCGGCTGAGACTTACTCCCTCGTGAAGCAGGAGCACTAGAAGCAGCAGGAGCACAGGACCGCTCTGCCATGGGGGAAATATGCCCAACTAATACCCCAAACGGCCACAAGGTCAACTTCTGTAAATCTCTATAGCTCCTTAACAACAGGCTCTATCTTTGTGTTTATCCAGCTTCTAAGACACTTGACTCTTGGACTGATCACAAGCAGCTATAAGAGGCTCAAAGCAAAGATCAGAGGCATATTACGTATAAACTAAGGGACGCATTATCTGTAGAAACAGTTTCTTATGTGGAGTGTTTCAGAAGGTTTCCTTCCCTAAACACAGCTAAATTGCCCTGGGCCCCACCTACACGCCTGCTCCAGAGGAGAAGATGACGTAGATTTCAAGTTTTACCACAGAAAATACGTGCCAGATCCTTGACACTGCCCAAACTATTCAAAATTAGGTTTCTTCTATTGAAAAAAGTTTTTAAAAAAATAATTGCTGGGCAAGACGAACCAAAATACTTGGGATTGTTGAATCTAACCAAAGCATTTTTTTGGGGGAGTCAATTCAAGAGCAATCAGTGCTGGCCCAAGCTCCAGTGTGCAACGTAGGAACTATAGTTCAGACACTGTTTGCCCCAAATTCTCTTCTCCACAGCTGGATCCCCAGTGTCACAGGAGTCATATAACCATAATGAATGGGAGAGACTTAGTCTAGCTGCAGCTCAAGCAAGTCAGGATTCACGACCTACCCAACCCAAATGAGATATTTCCAAATGGAACTAGCCACGTGGTTTGTGTCAAGTGAAAAAGTTCTTGTGGCTATGCAAACCCATTCACCCATTTTAACATAGCATCAGAGTCAAGACATCTTTATTTCCCCTGTCTCCAGTCCGTTTGACAATAAAAAATAAGACAAAGTTAAAAGAAAACTAACACTGAACTTCATTGTGGCTGCATCACATACTCTATTTCCCCACATTCAGCTGTCACTTTGCAACTGAAAAAGGCAGAACTAAAAGGGATAAAAATAAAATGCCCCCATCTCATCTGCCTTTCCTCTTTTGACAGTAACAACATCTCTACCATTGCTGAAAACCATCCATCATCTTACACATATGAACACAAGCAAGAGTTGGACCCAAAACACTTACGCTCCTCTTTACTAAGCAAACATAAGAAACATTTGCAGTCATGAACTGAACGGATGGCATTTGGACTGCCCCATGAATTTCCTCCCCTCATCCTGCCCTAGTGCTGTCTGGGGTGCTTAGAAGCAGCCTCCTTCCCCCCACCCAAAGACAAAACCTTATGTCACCACGCATGTAATCAGCTCAGGAAAAAAACCCTGAATTACAACATATGCATCCCCCTGTCAGACATTTTCAGGGAAGGGCATAGAAAAAAAATTAATGTTTTTCTTGTGCTCTCCCCACAGCTCCTTGCTGCCCTGCACCCTAAATCCACTGCTCTTGTTCCTCCAGCAAAAGCCAGTCACTCTGGAGTGTTAGTAAAAAGAGTGGAAGGCTGCTCCTTAGGAAGGAGGAGCAGAAGCCAGAAGGAGTAGATTTAACAGAGCCAAGCTCACACAAAATTTTCTTCCACTTGACTGTCCCTCTCCCAGCACAAAAGGCAAATCTGCTCTGATGAGGTGGCGCTTAAGAAAGACCACATTAGGAAAAAACAATGCAAGCAGGCACACTACTGCCACTCACACAGCTCCTGCTGCCCTCTGCTCAGCCCAGCTTCCCTGGCTCTACAGGCTGAGTGGGATCAGGCCATGACCACTGTGGTGATCAGGCCACTAACTCTTCCTCTGCCACAAACACTTTCCCCCCCAAAAGAGGAACCAATTTTCCCACTTCTGCTAATATCCTTTGGGTATGGGGAGGTGGGGTAGCACTGAGGGGCAAGTCGAGGTACAACCCCAGCCCACATCCAGGCATCTGGTGTGAACCCAGCCCCTACAGCAGAGCCTGAAAACTCAAGAGGGATTAAAACGCCCTTTGGAGAAATAATAGTGATGGGGAGGTGGTCTTGACCCTGCTCCTTGTGGTCAGGCCACCAGGCCCAGCACCAAAGCTGAGGCATCTTGATGGTCCCTGTCTAGGGGCACACAGGCAGTGACAGTCCTTCCTGACACTTCAGTCCTACTCACTTAGCACATCTCCTTCAGCTCCAGCTTAATGTATTCATGCCACTGCTATTTTTTGGTTTCCTACAGCTTCCTATCACAGTTTCTGGTGTTTTGATGTTTGATTAACAGTGCACTTACAGTTTTGGGTGTGGGGTTTTTTCCAAAGTAAAACAAACAAACAAACAAATCCAAATGCAAATCGTCCAGGAACAAACAGATGTCAGAATCCAAGTCAGGCAATGAAGGTGAAAGAAAAGTCAGATCAATGCTGGACACTTAAAACTTCCCCTGAGTGTCACCCACAAGTGCATGTGTGCCTTATTTTTACCTCTTTAATCTTCCATCACTACGTATTCCTAGATATCGCCTACCTAGAACTACTTTGAACAGACAAAATGATGGGAGGAAAGGGACAAACTTCTGGTGCAGTCCAAAATTTAATTACTATTTATCTCATTACATCTAGTGGCACCAAAGTTCCAACTGCAAGAGGGATGAAGGATGGGAAGGAGTTAACTCAGCCATTTCCAGCTCATTTCTCTTTGACTCCATTCCTTCACAATAAGAATGTTTAACCAAAACCCAACAGCAAAGTTGGGTCACAGAAAAAAAGCCATCCAACGTCTTAAGAAAAAAATAAACAAAATGCACACATCCTTCAAAACTCAAGCCAAAATTATTTCTGGTGTCTCTTCTTCAATTTACAGCATTTGCCATTATCTCTAAGAGCAACAGCAGTAGAAATGTGTAGAAAGCAAAAACTGACTGCTTTCAGTAATTTGATGTACTTTAAATGACACGAATGAGTAACCAAGGAAGCTAAAGAAAACCTCAGGTTCTGGTAGGCTGAAACCACAGACATCAGCGTCCCCGTGACAGGTGTAGACTACCTGGAAGAAAAACTTTGCTTTTTCTGATGAAACCACCTCATCCTTGTTGCATGGGCTGAGGACCTGGTCTCACCCTTTCCACCCACTGCTGATGGAAGAAGACTCTCCCCTGCCCAGATCACCACTCAGTCTGCCTCCTCCTGAGGCAGCCTCCAAGCGCCTACAAAATCACCAGCTTCACCTCCAAAGCTGCCAAATATCCTGTTGTTCAGATGGTACCCTTTCGTTTGAGGTTAAAAAGGAATATATTTCTGCTGTGTTACCCCCCCCCCCCCTTTTTTCACCTCAGCTTTCAAGACGTGCTTCTCAACTGATGTGCAGGGACACACCACACACACACAGACAGTGCTGCAGCAGGTCAAACACCAGCAATGTCCCCGTGTCCTTCCTGTGCCTGTAGATATCAGGGAACGTATTATGGGCATTGGTTGTCCCATAAAGGAAAACACAGACTTTTCTGAGCATCCTGTAAATGCCGGGGAAAGAGAAGAATGGAAAGGAAATGAAAGAGCAATCTGGAATGGAGAACGGAAAAGCAGGAGACCTTGGCTCAAAGGAGAGAGCTGACCACAGTTTTAGCTCTGCCTTCATCTATAGAAGATGTTTGCTCTTATTAATCTTGGAAAAAATGTGGTGCATGAGCTAAGTCAGCCCCTGGGCAGATTTAACTTGGGTGACCTGAACTTACTCTGCAGATCACCATAGGTCTCTCTGACCTTGGCAGTGACACAAGGATCATATTTTCTCATGGATGAATTACTCTGGAATAATTCTGCCAATGTATTAGGCATAAATAGCCTTTTATTTCAGACTGGGCAAATACATTCTCTGTTTCTGCCTCTCACCTTCCCAAATAAAATCTATTTATTGGGGTAAGGAAAACCCCACCCTTCATTAAGGTCTGGGTACACATCTCAAGGGCCAGACAGAAGCTTGGCTGCTTCATGCTCATGGCAATGTGTTTTCAGACATTGCCTTCAGCAAGATGCATTTTGGAGTTAACTGTTCAGATTTGTTGCTTTTGATTGAAGTGGTCAGCCTGCACATCTGCAGACGAACATACAAATGCCTTCAGACACAAAGGAGGAGGTATATACAGGTCAGTAGTGGGAACGATCAGCTTCAATCACCAAAACAGAAAGCACAATCCTCAACATACATCTACAAGCAAGTGACGAGCAGCTCCACAAAAATCAGCCAAGTTGCACGGAGATAAGCAAAAAAAAAAAAAAAAAAAAATCCCCCAAACCTCACATCTCGGCCTTGCGGAAAATTGACCAATTTGGAAGGAACAGGTAAACAGTGTGTTCTTGGACAAGAGTCAGCACAGTTTGGATGATGTAGACCTTTCCGTTCAAGAGGTGCACTGGTTTTTGCGTCTGGTCACTTGAGGTCACACCGCAGAGTTCCGAGGCTCTGCAGAAGCTCTGCAGGCTTCCTCCCCATGATGGAGGTGGCTAAAGTGGCTCTTAAAATCAGTTGTTATTCTGATGCCACCTGAGTCTTAATTGCCAAAGAAATGGGAACTAAAACCACGGAAAGGGCTTTCTGGCACTGGCGAAGGAAGTATCAATTTTTGAGGTCACAAAAACATCCCTTAAAAATGTGAATCAGAGTGGTTCTTTCATGCTGCAACTTGATAAAGTCAAGCAAAACATTAGCAGACTATTTTGATGAAGGTCAGGACAATTTTGTAATATGTGTATTTTACAGACATGCTTAGATGTGTATCAAAAAAAGAAAGAAAAAACTTGCAAACCTGTATTCAAATTATCCTGAGACAATCAAATAAATCCTAGTAAATACTAGTTCCTGTTTCCACTCTGAATGAGTCTCTTCTAATAAACTCATTTCATGTTGAGCAAACATAATTTTCCAACTGTTTGTGAACTCCTTGCTTCCTCCATACACAACTTTTGCTGTGCAGTTGATGTCTTAGAACCTGCATGCAACTGTCTCCATATTGAGAGGCAGAAAAGCAAGTCTCTAGTCAGAGACCTGCACTCTTTCCAATCACAGTTTTGAACAGATACTCACTGATGCCAAAACAGGTGACTCTCTTGAGACTGGAAAAGGCTTTCACAAATACCTGCCAGTCATCTGAACAGTCACCAACAATGCCAGCCTCTGAACCATTGCTAATCGTGCTGCTGATTTCTATGCAAAGCAACTCTGAGTTTTGTCATTTTAACTGCCTGACCAGCTGCACCTGCAATTTGTGGCTGACCAGGCAGATGAGAAGGGAAGACAGAGATTTTCATTTAAAATCCTGGGGTGAAACTCAAAGTTCAGCTAAAAAGCATTCTTATCTATACTTAACAGTTTTTATGGAAAAGACTTTGACATAAGCACCATATTTGCAATGAATATTATCTCAGCAGTGACCTGAACAAGGGAATATTGACCTGGAGAGGGCAACTGCTAGTAGGACCATGTGGAAACTATCCCTTATGCTAACCCTTCACCAGCATAGAAGACTTCTTGCACATTTAAGGTTGCACATGAACCTCATCCAAGAGCATGGAAGAATAGGCTCAAGACAGCAGGTGCTGCACACATCCACTCAAAGACGACACGAGTTGTAAATAAGGAGGACAGAGTCTCAAAGCACTCAACAAACATGCCAGAAAGCCCAATATTCCGAGGCACTGAAGGGATCTGGGCTGGTTATGACTCCTGCAGAGCAAGCAGAATAGCTCATGAGAAAGCCTCTGCCGGGACATCCCTGGAAACACCTCACTCAGCTCCCTTCCCTGGGTTTACCCTGGAGAGCCATCCCTCAAGATCCCAGATAAGGCACGCTGACAAGGTGCTGAATGAAAGCCCACACTGCTGCTGCCAGTAACCCGCCCTCC